GTGCTGCTATAAACATTGGGGTGCATGTGCTCCTTCAAAACAGCATACCTGTATCCCTTGAATAAATACCTAGTAGTGCAACTACTGGGTTGTAGGGTAGTTCTGTTTTTAATTTTTTGAGTAACCTCCATACTGTTTTCCAATATGGAAAACTGGATGCACCCGTTTGCATTCCCACCAGCAGTGCAAAAGAGATCCTCTTTCTCTGCATCCTTGCCAACATCTGTTGTTGCCTGAGTTGTTAATGTTAGCCATTCTGACAGGTATGAGGTGGTATCTCATCGTGGTTTTGATTTGTATTTCCCTGATGATGACTGATAAGCATTTTTTCACGTGTCTGTTTGCCATCTGGATGTCTTCTTTGGAGAAGTGTCTATTCATGTCTTTTGCCCATTTCTTCACTGGCTTATTTGTTTTTTGGGTGTTGAGTTTGATAAATTCTTTATAGATTTTGGATACTAACCCTTTATCCAATATGTCATTTGCAAATATTGTCTCCCATTCCATCAGTTGCCTTTTAGTTTTACTGATTGTTTCCTTTGCTGTGCAGCTTTTTATTTCGATGAGGTCCCAATATTTCATTTTTGTTTTGTTTCCCCTGCCTCTGGAGACGTGTTCAGTAAAAAGTTGCTGGGGCCAAAGTCAGAGAGGTTTTTGCCTGCTTTCTCCTTGAGGACTTTGATGGCTAACTGTCTTACATTTAGGTCTTTCATCCATTTTTAATTTTTTTTTGTGTATGGTGTAATAAAGTGGTCCAGGTTCATTTTTCTGCATATCACTGTCCAGTTTTCCCAGCACCACTTGCTGAAGAGACTGTCTTTATTCCATTGGATATTCTTTCCTGCTTTGTCAAAGATTAGTTGGCCATACATTTGTGGGTCCATGTCTGGGTTCTCTCTTCTGTTCCATTGATCTGAGTATCTGTTTTTGTGCCAGTACCATACTGTCTTGATGATTATGGCTTTGTAATACAGCTTGAAGTCTAGGATTGTGATGCCTCCTGCTTTGGTTTTCTTTTTCAAGATTGCTTTGGCTATTTGGGGTCTTTTCTGATTCCATACAAATTTTAGGATTGTTTGTTCTAGCTCTGTGAAAAATGCGCTTCCTTACTGTTAATGTTAGATTTTTTTTTTAGGAAAACCATGTATGCCAACAGAATTTTTTTAATTTAATTTTATTTTTTAATGTTTATTTATTTTTGAGACAGAGAGAGAGGCAGAGAAAAAAGGAGACAGAGAATCCCAAGCAGGTCCTGCACTGTCAGGGCAGAGCCTGATGTGGGGCTGAAACTCACAGAGGGTGAGGTCATGACCTGAGCTTAAATCAGGAGTCGAGATGCTTAATTCACTGAGCCACCCAGGGACCCCTAATGTTGGATTGTTTTTAAAGATATTTCTTAAGAGTTCTGATGTACAAACCAACTGAAAACATGTTTTGATTCTTTCAACTTCATTAGTTCTCTTTTACTGATCTTAAAACCAGGACATAAAGTAGTCAAAACAAAGAGCAGGGTATGCCTCTCACTGTGTTGGGACTGCCTGATGGGAGAGGAACTGATCCATACCACTCTGCAAACATTTGCACCTTCTTCTATTTATAACAAGTAATGAATGCCTTTCCTTTGTTAATTAAATTGGAGATTTTATTTTCTTTTCATATGAAATTTATTGTCAAATTGGTTTCCATACAACACCCAGTGCTCATCCCAACAGGTGCCCTCCTCAATGCCCATCACCCACTTTCCCCTCCCTCCCACTCCCCATCGACCCTCAGTTTATTCTCAGTTTTTGAGAGTCTCTTATGGTTTGCCTCCCTCCCTCTCTAACTTTTTTTTTCCCTTCCCCTCCCCCATGGTCTTCTGTTAAGTTTCTGAGGATCCACATAAGAATGAAAACATATGGTATCTGTCTTTCTCTGCGTGACTTATTTCACTCAGCATAACACTCTCCAGTTCCATTCACGTTGTTACAAAAGGCCATATTTCATTCTTTCTCATTGCCATGTAGCATTCCCTTGTGTATACAAACCACAATTTCTTTATTCATTCATCAGTTGATGGACATTTAGGCTCTTTCCATAATTTGGCTATTATTGAAAGTGCTGCTATAAACATTGGGGTACAAGTGCCCCTATACATCAGCACTCCTGTATCCCTTGGGTAAATTCCTAGCAGTGCTATTCCTGGGTCATAGGGTAGATCTATTTTTAATTTTTTGAGGAACCTCCACATTGTTTTCCAGACAGGCTGCACCAGTTTGCATTCCCACCAACAGTGGCAAGCGGGTTCCCGTTTCTCCACATCCTCTCTATAGTCTCCTGATTTGTTCATTTTAGCTACTCTGGTGTGAGGTGGTATCTGAGCGTGGTTTTGATTTGTATTTCCCTGATGAGGAGCGACGTTGAGCATCTTTTCATGTACCTGTTGGCCATCCGGATGTCTTCTTTAGAGAAGTGTCTATTCATGTTTTCTGCCCATTTCTTCACTGGATTATTTGTTTTTCAGGTGTGGAGTTTGGTGAGTTCTTTATAGATTTTGGATACTAGCCCTTTGTCCCATATGTTATTTGCAAATATCTTTTCCTATTCTGTTGGTTGCCTTTTAGTTTTGTTGATTGTTTCCTTTGCGGTGCAGAAGCTTTTGTCTTCATGAGGTCCCAGTAGTTCATTTTTGCTTTTAATTCCCTTGCCTTCGGAGATGTGTCGAGTAAGAAGTTGCTGCGGCTGAGGTCAGAGAGGTTTTTCCCTGCTTTCTCCTCTAGGGTTTTGATGGTTTCCTGTCTCACTTTCGGGTCCTTTATCCATTTTGAGTTTATTTTTGTGAATGGTGTAAGAAAGTGGTCTAGTTTCATTCTTCTGCATGTTGCTGTCCAGTTCTCCCAGCACCATTTGTTAAAGAGACTGTCTTTTTTCCGTTGGATATTCTTTCCTGCTTTGTCAAAGATGAGTTGGCCATACGTTTGTGGGTCCAATTCTGGAGTCTCTATTCTATTCCATTAGTCTATGTGTCTGTTTTTGTACTAATACCATGCTGTCTTGATGATGACAGCTTTGTAGTAGAGGCTAAAGTCTGGGATTGTGATGCCTCCCACTTTGGTCTTCTTCTTCAATATTACTTTGGCTATTCGGGGTCTTTTGTGGTTCCACACAAATTTTAGGATTGCTTGTTCTAGCTTCAAGAAGAATGCTGGTGTAATTTTGATTGGGATTGCATTGAATGTGTAGATAGCTAAATAGGGTATTTTAAACATAGCTAAACTACCTGTCCTCCTGAGGTGAAGAAGGTAAAGATTATTATGGAAATTTACTGTCATAGACAATTTAACAAGTTTTAAAAAGCTTTAGAATTAGTTATTGCTTGTCTCCATTATAAAAACTTCCATTGAAAAGCTCAGTGGTTTTCCTTTTGTAGGACTCCAGAATTTACCATGTTACATTCCTTTATGTCATACTAATTAACATCCATATGACTGTGTTCAAGTTCTAAGAAGTTCATTTCACTAACTGGATTATGATTGTAAATGTCAGATACTGTCCCTTTCAAAGCTAAAAATGTCCCAAATTTTTGTTAACAAAAAAATAGTCTGTGCTTATTATCTATAAATTATACCTTGATAAAATCTTTAAAATGACAAAAATAGCAGTGCCTGGGTGGCTCAATCAGTTAAGCATCTGACTCTTGATTTTGGCTGAGGTCATGATGTCTCAGTTTTTAAGGTTGAGCCCCATGTGAGGCTCTGCACTGACAGCACAGAAGGGATTCTCTCTCTCCTTCTCTCTTTGCCCTTTCCCTGCTTCTCTCTCTCTCTCTCAAAATAAACATTTTAAAAAACATTAAAAATCAAAATAAAAAACAGTAAAAATTTCCTCTTTCAGGTAAATCTTGGTATTTCTCTCCCTGTTGCATGATTTCCTCTATATTCTCTAAATGCATAGGGATTTTTGATTATTATTATTATTTTGACAGTCAAACTTTACTGACCACCTATTACCATGCTGACATGTTCACAAGAGCAAAAAAGCAAAACATGGACATTAGAATCTTGACCCCCCTCAAACCTTGACCTTGTCTCACTGCACAGTTTCACTCCTGGTTTTCGCTGTAGGTTTTACAGACTGACCCCACTGTTCACAAGAGTCACTCCATGATGGCTGCACTTGGCCTAATCTCAAGTTGATGACACATCCCCTTTCAAGCCATTCCCTCCTCTGGGACCCATATCCTTTAACAGACAAAATGGGTCCTCTCTGATGGCAATTTTTATGAAACTTTTTTAACCTGGTAGAATTTTGTGGTCCATAACAATAAAACATTAGTATGAACTGTGAGCTAGACCATGGGGATATGTAATGACATAACACAGTATCTGTTAAAATGGGATTCTATCTGTAACCTATTCCAGTCAGCACTAATCCAAATGGTATCTATTCTTTAAAAAGAGACAAGAACCTAAGGCCTCATTCTAGAATATCTTTTTCAAGTCTGGGCTATATATCCATTGTAACAAGATTGTCTAAACTGGAAAATGGGAAACAATTAGTCTGCTTTGCAGACAAGTCACTGCATCCTTAGTCCTGAAGCATTATCAAGTATATCTGTAAAATGAGTTGATGAGACTAAATTACTGATTTTCTGTCTGCTCAGACTCATAGGAACCCCCACCTACGAAAGTAATATTGGGCTACATGTTAATTTTATTTCAAAAAGCTTATTTGCTACATCATCTAAATAAAATGTCATATCTTTTTTTTTTTTTTTTTTTCTGAGCTGGAGTTATGGTCCTAACCATGATTTTCCTCATGTTGACCAGAAGTCCTGCTCGGCTTTAATAAAATTAGGAAACAAATGCATTATTACTTAATCAATGTAGAATAGTAAATCTTTCAAAATTTGGAGGCCACGGGAAACAAAATTATTAAAAGGATCTTTGGCAAAGAAAAAATGGTAATCACAGAGCTAGATCACTGAGTATATTTTCAGCTAATAATTACTGTGTACTTACCTGTGAAAGGTTTTCCTCTAGGTCTGAGGGTTATAGGGATAACATTGAGAGGTCCATGATACAGTCCAATGAAGGGGATGATCTCTTAGGTGCCTTCCATCTGCAATATGGAAGGTCTACCTATATGTTAAGGGGAAAGTTGTTTGTTGTTGGTAGTGCTATTTTAATTTATGATTTTCCCCTCAACTGTAGTTAGGCTATAAGAAACTTTTAAAATTTCCTCACAAAGGGCACAAAACTCCCTGCCTGCTTTTCATAATAATGTCAGTTTTTATGCCATCACCAACCATTCCTACCTAGGTCTACATATCAGAGATCTAGAACTTATACCATTAGCAACCAGGAGATGGGAGTATCGGGGTCTTTCTTGAGGCTAAGGTCATAGCAAGGGTTGGAAAAGCTCAGGATGATGAATAGCCAGCTTCTCTGTCCAGGCCTCAGTACAAGCGAATCTTGATGGGAAAGTATGATTCTTAGGTCCTGCATAGTATAAAATAGAACATGTTTGCTTCTTGTCTCTGCATAATAAATCTCTTAAAAACCACACAGCCCTTGGAAGGTTACTAGACATTGCTGGTTTGATACAGAGCCATCATTCGTCAGCCCAGAAAATGTCATCTCCCTGGCTTAGAGAGTAACAATTTTAAAGTATCGGATGGGAAATGAGGTCTTAACCAAATAGACCTCAAATTGCAAATTCTAAAGTGGTGTCAATTTTAATGGAGAATAAATAAATCACTTCCAACAAGATGCATCTTAACCCTTGAATAGCCATAGTTTATCACAGATATTAAAGGATCTAAGTTCTTAAGCCTCCATTTCCAAGCACATAGTTTAAGTATTATAAAAGAACAAGTATTTCTCCTATTAATTTAAGTAAGCTCTGACCCAACCTGCTTTTTTGACACCTGTAATAAAAAACATTCAATGGCAAATATACCTAGATGATGGTATAAATACAGAACACTATCCTCTTTAGACAGTACTTTCCTTTTACATAGGTTCCACTGTATCGAAGGAAACAAGTATATATGCATCCACCTAAGCATTCAGAGTTGTCTCCCCTGCATGTTCCCTTTTAGACCCATTTCTTCCATAGAAATTCCATACGGAAAGGAGTGAGCCAACTCAAAAACCAACTGTCTAAATTCAATTATTCACTCCCCTGGTACGAGAGTAGGAACTTGTGAAAACACAAGTCCCAACAGGCAGAAGGAAATAATCTGAAAAATGAAAAGCTCTATGAACCAGTACAAAGGTTTCCCAGTCTCTGGGTGTGAAACAATTCCTCGTCAAGTCATCTCTCAGTCTGAGATGCCCAGAAATAGGTTATCTGAGAGTAGCCCATGCTTGTTACCAGAAATCTCAATTCTAGCCGTTACATATACTCTTAGAAATACCCAACTCATCTACATGGCTGGCACATATTTGCTCTTGGATATAGACTGCTGTAGAGAAAAGTTGTGATGTCTGAAATCACAACATTCTTGTCCTGATTCTTTCCCCAGAAAACATTTCTTTTGCTCACTGTCGCGGAACATTATTCCTGGGGAGATCTATAAGCCAAAGATGACAGGTTACAGCATATCCATGTCAATGGGTAACTGAACACAGTTTAGGAGTCAACTGTCATTACCTATCATGGCTTAACATTCAAGTCAATCAAAGAAGGTACCCTCTACTTAGAACACACACACAACTATTTTCCCTTTTCTTCCTAGGAACTATGGTGTACTATTCTGGGACAGGAAATATTACTAGAATGGCTGAGGTTCTGTTTGAGAAAAATCATTACAGAGAAATGGGAATTTCTTTACACATTCTTAAATATAGGAGGAAAACATTCAATTGCATTAATCATCAAAAATATTAATCAAAACTATACAAGGCTGCAAAAAAATGACAAAAGGCCATTTCTGATATATTAAATTGGCAAAGTTTAGAAAGGCAATACTGTTTTTGGCACAACTTTTATATTGGGCATTTTGGCTATTTGTGCCAAAAATTTTACAATGCTTGTAACAACTGACTCAGTAATTCTACTTTAAGGGCATTTATTTTAAAGCAATAATCAAATATATATATATAAAGACTTATAAACACAAATGTTCATCCTCAAATAATAGGAAAATCTATTTTTTTTATAGAAATAATAGTCCAACAATAGGGATTTGGTTAATAAATTGTGGTGTATCCATGAGAGAATACTATGTAGCTATTTTCTAAAAAGGACACATTCTGCCATATCCTATATCAATTACTATCTCTGGCATAGTGTGATAGGAACAATTAAGAGTTTCTTTATAATATTTCCAAAATTTTTGAAAATTTGCAAAAGCATACTGTTTTTATATGAAGAAACAATGATTTATAACAGTAACAACTGCCTTGAGTACTCACTTTGTGCCAGATTGAACAGATAAGCGTTTTTTCAGTATCTCATTTAATCTTTACCATAATCTTATGAGGCTGGGTACTATGATTAGCACCATTTGAAACTACAGAAGTGACAGAGTTGGGACTTGAACACAGATCTAATTCCAAAGCTTGTGCCCTTGACCACTTTTAACCACTAAGAGATATCACATTTCTGAGTTACTTTTCTTGGAACCAAGTTTTCCAAGAAGCACTAACACATCCAATTTCATATGGAAAGAGAAAAATAGCAAATAAAGAGTTTGGAATTATTCCATACTAAAAGGACAAGGAATCCTTTATGAATCTACACATAGCTTGAATTTGGGTAGGGTACTGTTTCTATAAGCCTATGATAAAAGTGACACATGTCTAAATTCATCAAGCAAATTGGAGGAGTGGCCTCAAATCTCTACAGCACAGAGTTTCTACACACTTAGTTCTCTTACACTGTCACATGTTATTGATGTTAAGTGATACTTGGTGGCAATCATGATAAAGCAAACTTCAGTGACAAAAACCCCATTCACTTGGGTTTTGCTAAAATTGGAGATTTTCTATGATCCAGAGGATTTAATCAAGCTTTAAGCAATGATCGCCCAGTCAGTATGCACTCAGCAAGTCCCTCAGTCCTCTGATTTTGGGGCAAGAACGTGTTTTCACATGGATGAGCCATTCTTGGACACTTATATGAGGAACCATCACACATATTTTAAAGGAGTCATTCACATCTTTGAAAAACAACCTACACATGATCTCTATTTGAATGTTAAGGAATAACCTTAAATATATTCATGGGAAGTATTTAAATGTGTTCTTTCAAAAAAATGAGGTATTGTATGTTTCTTGTACTGAGCTCTATAACATGGTAAAATGAATAATTTCTCATTCATTTTTGCCTTTTCCCACTGCTATTGTAGCCAAACTAGATCAACCATGCAGTGAGCCCATCAACTATTTTGCAATAACTTATCATAAAAAATTCAAATGGCCAAATTGGACTTCATAGCTAACAGACTGTCTTAAATATATCAATTAGATAGTAGTAAATATCCACATAATTTGGAACTTACTGGAAACTAATCATGTAAAACTGATGTGGTTGTCGCCTTTTATGAGCAAATGATATTCTGTAGTAGATTAGTGACTAACTTCAGGAGAAAGCTGGCAAGATTAAACTTTCACATCAAACCCTATGAAGATTTACCTTGTCTAACTGTGAGTGTGAAGTCTGTAGGTAGTCAGGCTTAACCCAAAGGAAGACACCATAGCTGGACTCTAACACTCCACCATTTTCCCAGGATAGATCTGATTTTACTCTACGTGCTAGAGGGGATGCAAATCATTTCTTACATATACTGTACCACAAAGTAAATGCTCAGATAAGTAACTGCAAGATTAAAAAAAAAAAGACAGTGCAGCAAGCTCAAGTTCAAGGCCAAAAGACATTTGATGATTCAAATAAGTGAAAATATTGATAGGAAAATATTAACTTCTCACTTTTTAACCAAAATGACTCAACAGAGTCTAGAAAATTTTAAAATGTGATCATCACTAACAAATATAGTAAGTACTCTTCCTTTGAACAGAGAAGGGGGAAAACTAAGTGGCTAGATGTATTAAAGTAACTAAGTGAAAAAAGGTTTCTTCAAATACTGCCTATTACTGGACACGGAAAAGTGGGCATGGAAATTTTTAAATTTCATTAGGAAATAATTATAAAATATCTGCTATGGAAAGTAAGCCTATGCTAGGTTTCATGAAGGTTATGAAGATGAGAAAGTTTTAAAGTTATCATGATTTATGTATCCTTAAACAAAAAAAGGTAGCCAGTGAAGATTTAGGTTAATTTTCTAGCTTATATAGTACATGCATATGTTATATACTATGGCAGAAAATCCCCTAAGCTATCCATTTGCAAAGCAAAAAATAAGATTATTGAGAAAACAGGAGCAGAATGGCAGGGGCAGAGGGGCAAGAGCAGACTTAAAATCTTTTATTTTCTAAGGGCAAATGGTGATTATTTTCCAACTAGGTTTTTTTTTTTTTGAAAGTCAAAAGGCATGGTAACTGGCTTTTTGGATGTGGTTTTTCTCCCTTTTACTGTAGAAAGGAACTATATTTTCCAAAACCTATATCCTGTAACTGTTTTTTTCCTAAGGGTTTAAAGAACACCATGTAGCCTTACATTGGCTTAAATGATCAGACCCTACCATTTACCGAAAATTCAAATAAGCTGGAGAGGATTATCTCAAAAAAAGATTTTGTATAAAAATATCAAAGAGGGCTTACTATAAAACAGTTCAGTGATTGTAAGTAATGGCATGTCGGTGTCCTAAAATTCACACAGAGATTGACAGTGGTGATGGTTGTACAACATTATGAATGTATTTAATATTAATGAACCATACACTGAAAAATGGTCAAGGTGGGGGGGGGGCGCCTGGGTGGCTCCATCAGTTGAGCGTCCAACTCTTGATTTTGGCTCAGGTCATGATTACAGGGTCATGGGATCAAGCCCTGTAGAGGGACTGAGTCCTCCGCTGGGCTCTGCATGGAGTGTGGAGACTGCTTGATATCCTCTCTCTCTCTCTCTCTCTCTCCCTCCCTCCCTCCATCCCTCCTTCCCTCCGCCCTTCTCCCCCACACACATGCTCTCTCCCTAAAATAATTTTTTTTAATGGGCAAGGTTGTTAAGTTTTATGTTACATGTATTTTATCACGAATTTTAAAATTAGGGAAAAGAGTTGATGGGAGAGGTCCAACAAGCAGTGGACGACTCAGATCTGGGGTTCAAGACAGAAGATAGGACTAGTGATAGACATTTAAGAGCTTTGTACATAGGAGTATTATTTTGCATCACTGCCTGGCATGGTTATGGTGCTCTAATTTATAACCCTGAGATGCAGAGTCACATGCTTTACTGACTGAGCCAAGCCAGATGCCCCCAGAGTGTAAGCTTTTAAAGGGCAATGGAATGAATACCTTACTCATCTATGTGTCCTATGCAGCATTAGGACAACACCTCTAATAGGTATCTAACAGGTATTTATAAAAATTGAACTGGGAAAGATTGATGGTGGAGTAGGAGGACCCTAGGTTCACCTCCCACGCAAACATATCTAGGTAACTATCTATCCTAAATACCCCAGAAATTGACTTGAAGAGTGGCAGAACAAACTCCACAAGTAGAGGTAGAAAAGAGGCCACAATGAAGAAGGTAGCAAGTGTGGAGACACAGTTTGAGGGAAACAGACCATGGCTGCTGTGGTGGGGAGGGAGCC